TATTACATTGTTTCTATAGTTTGTACTTTCAAATTCATTGTTCGTCTCTCTCTTCCTCCCTCCTTAGATTCCATCCTTGAAATTATATTGATTGACAAAGGTACTTTTTCTTCATCTTTCCACACTGCTTATTCTATTATTGTTTGTTATTTTGATTTTTGTTGAGGAACATTTGTTGTTTGAGAAAAATATTTTTGTTTTTTATAAATTTTTATGATTCTATAATTAGAAAAATAATAATAGATTCATTTTTTTCTAGATATGAAGCATAAAAGAATAAATTCATTTTTTAAAAGTGATAAAAGAGATACTTGTAGAGATGAAAACCAAATAAATTCAACATCTTCTCCTGTTTCAAAGGATGATGATCCAATTATTCAATTAGAAGAACCCCTTTCTAAGATTCATAGAATTAAAACCAATGAATTTAATATTAATTCTTTGGAGTGTGACCCAGGAAAACGTCTTCGGATACATGAATATCCTATGAATCAAAGAGATGAAATTAGAAGAGCTTATTTAAATTGGGGTCCATATCAAATACAACTTAAAAACTATCCTTTTTCTAAAGAGAAACATCCTAGGAGATTTCAATATAGTTGGTTTAAAATGTTTCCTTCTTGGCTAGAGTATTCTCCAACTAGTGATGGAGCTTATTGTTTGTCATGTTATCTATTTAGTACATTGTCAAATGGTCGTCCTGGGGCAGATGTGTTTATTAGACAAGGATTTAGATCATGGAAAAAGGTTAATTCAGAAAAGAATTGTGTGCTTTTTAGTCACATTAGAGATAGTTCTTGTTCACCACATAATAATGCAATGAAAGCATGTACATACTTATTGAATCAATCTAAGCACATTGACAACATTATAAATGTGCAAAATTCAGAAGAAGTTTGCAAAAATCGTTTACGGCTTAAAACTTCTATTGATACAATTCGTTGGCTAGCATTTCAAGTTTGTGCATTTAGAGGTCACGATGAAACTCCAAATTCAAGTAATAGAGGTAACTTTCTTGAGATGATTAAACTTTTAGCATCATATAATGATAAAGTAGCACAAGTTGTGTTAGAAAATACTCCTTATAATTCAAAATATACTTCTCATCATATTCAAAAGGAAATTTTGCACATTTTTTCTAGAAAAGTAAGAAATTATATTCATGAAGAAATTGGTGATTGAAAATTTTGTAGAATTGTTGATGAAGCTTGTGATGAATCTAGAAGATAACAAATGACTATTGTTTTGAGATTTGTAGATAAAATGGGTAATATTAAAGAATGTTTTTTTGATATTGTGTATGTTAAGGATACTACAACTGCTACTCTTAAAAGAGAATTATGTGTTGTTCTCTCTAGACATAATCTTGATGTTTCCAATATTCGTAGGCAAGGATATAATGGTGCTAGTAATATGAGAGGAGAATGGAATGGATTGCAAACATTATTTCTTCATGATAATCCTTATACTTATCATGTACATTGTTTTGCTCATAGATTACAACTTGCTTTGGTTGCTGTTTCAAGAGAAGTTATTCCAGTTCATCAATTTTTTTCAAATTTGGCTTTTATTATAAATGTTGTTTGTTCATCTAGTAAACGTCATGATGAGTTACAAAGTGCAGAATTAGATGAAATAGTCAAATTGTTAGAACTTGGTGAACTTGAAACCGATAAAGGAAAAAATCAAATTGGCACTTCAAAACGAGTTGGTGGTACTCGTTGGAGTTCACATTTTTATTCCATTTGTAGTATGATGAAATTGTATAGTGCATCTTGTTTAGTTCTCCAAAAAATTATAATTGATGGTTCAACTTATTCTCAAAGGGGTGATGTTGATGTTGATGTTGCTTATAATATTTTGTCTGAGTTTGAGTTCATATTGATTTTACACATGATGAAATAAATTATGGGAATTACTAATTGTCTTTGTCAAGCTTTACAAAAACAATCTCAGGATATACATACTGCTATGCAATTAGTCTATTCGACTAAAATTTTGATTCAAAAATTAAGAGAGGAGGGTTGGCAAGATTTGTTGAAAGATGTGATATTGTTTTGTGAGGAACATGACATTGATATTTCTAATTTTAATTCTACGTATGTAGCACATCATGGTCGTTCTCGACATAAAAAAGATTGTATTACAATAGAACATCATTTCAGGGTGAACAGTGGCGGATCTTGACCATTGATCTTGGGGGGGTCAAATAATATATTATTAATAAATATAAAAGGAAGAAAGAAGATGAAATGGTGAAAAAATAAAATTGTAGATATATACTTAAATATATTAAATAATCATTAAGTTTGAGGGGAACAAAATCATAAATTATATAAGAGTTACAAAACTGAGGAGGGGCTGAGATGATAAAATTGTAAATATACAAGTAAATATATTAAATATTCATTATGTTTGGGGGGGCCAAAATCATAAATTACATGGGAGTTACAAAATTTTGGGGGGGTCACGGCCCCCCTCAACTCCCAAGAAGATCTGCCATTAAGGGTGAACATATTTTTTATTACAATGGATAAACAATTACAAGAATTAAATGATAAGTTTAGTGAGAAAACAATGAAACTTTTAACTTTAAGCAATGTTTTAATTCCAAATGATGTTTATAAAAATTTTAACATTGATCATATATGCACACTTGTGAACAAATTTTATCCTTTAGATTTTAATGAACAAGATTAATTTAAAATTTCAACTTCATCATTTTATACTTGATGTTTCTAACCATCTAGATTTGAAGAATTTATCTATCATGCTTGAATTATGTCAATCTTTGACAAAAACAAGGAAGCATGTATATTTTACTTAATAGATCGTTTAATTCGTCTTATTTTAACTCTTCATGTTTCTACAACTATAACTGAAATATCGTTTTCTGCAATGAAGATTATTAAAACAAGACTACGAAATAGAATGAAAGATAAAATTCTTGCAGATAATATCATCATTTATATTGAAAAAAAAACTGAAAATTTTAGTTCTGATTTCATTATTAATGAGTTCAAATATTTAAAAGAATAAATAACACAATTTTAAATAAATATCCTATTTTTTATTTATTATTATATAATTTTTTTATAATTGACTTCAGACTACCACTAGTTATATATATAACTTAAAAAAGTAGTATAACAATTGTAAATCTTTCAACATAATGACGTGTCTTTTAAAAATAGAATCAAATGCAAACATAATGTGACGAGACTTAGTTTATAAGTTAATTTTGGGACTTCATTATATATTTGATAATATATTTGATATACAGGATTGATTTATCCATGAACTAGATTTGGATTTTTTTTAATCATTAACTTATCTGTTGTATATTAATTTTAACTATTATAATCGTGCAGTTATATAAAAGCAAATAATAATTTAAGGAATCACATCAATTTTAATATTGAATTGCTAGTAAAAAGACATGAGATAAATTTTAATTTATTTTGTGTTAAGACTGATGTCTTGAGATGTGTGTCTAAATCTTCATGTGAAGTAATGGCATTTCGATTTTTTTTTTAATTTATTATATAAATATTATATTATGTGATAGTATACGTATGCCAATATAATTGTTGGCGGAACGTTATGTTTATTATAAAAAAATATTTAAATTAATTTAAAAATAATAATTAAATTTAAAAGATTGGAAACACAAAAGGTTAGAAAATATATAAAGGAAATTATTCAAGTAATAAATTAAAAGAATTTAAAAATCTAATAAAAATGGCATGTGAGGTGGTTTCAAAATTTGTATTATTGAATCAAAACATTATTATTTATTTATTATATTTTCATAACTAAAAAATTATTATTTTAGTCTAACTTTAGTTATATGTTTGTTCTACTTTATATATATATATATATATATATATATATATATATATATATATATATATATATATATATTCTATTTTAAAGTTTTGTTTTGTTTTGTTTTATATTTATTAAATCTAAAAATATTTCCTAGGCATATACATATTTAATGTTAGTTTGTACTCATACTACATACGAATTATAAAAATAACTTCGTCATTAATTAACATTAGTTAAAAACTAATTTTAATTTTTTATATGATTGATTTATCTTTTTAAATTATTCATAAAATAATTTTAATTATAAAAATATATTTTTATTTTTTATTTTCTTTCTAATTCTTGAGGAAAAGAAACACATCCAAACATGTTCTTAAGTAGTCAGACACCAGACAAATTCCAACATACTACTCAGTCAAAGGATGAGGTCTTCAATACACAATCTTGAGAATGCATTGCTCAAACTACATTATCGTTGTAAGAGATCTTAGCTATTTACTAAATTACAATTAAAAAAATTACAGTAAAATAATATATTTTACAAAATGCACAGTTAAACCATAATATTGGACATTGCCAAGTTTTTTTTCTCACATGTCTATTCTTACACAGTTTTTGGTTTTAAATACATTATTAAAGTGTATATTTTCAAAAATACAACGTTATATATTATTATTATTATTTTAATTAATTTTTTATTTGATAAAGTGAAAACAGAGTAAGATTATTGGTAAATTTTATTTCATAATAAAAAACAAATAAACCGTGTCGTTGCTGAATATGCAATTTCTATTGAGAAAAGATGCCACATAATGAGACAGATGGCCGCATTTAAGACTACATTTTCCTTCAATCAGGTTTTCTCTACGATCAACTTTAGCATGCATTTACGTTATCAACAAATTCTAGTCGTTCGATTTATCGAACGACTATTCACAAATTAAATTTAAAATACACAGTTGAATCGTTAATCATCGGCTCTTTATCTCACGCTCACGATTCCTTAAGTGTACAAATGTGTAACGGCGTAACCGCAGGTTCACTTTCCTCTGCATGTTTCAGCCGCCACTTGGGTAGTATTATGGAATAACTACGATAGGTTGCTGAGTCAAGTCAAACCCACAACCCTTGACCCATTTTGATGTGCTTGTTTTTTTCCACGGTCAAAGGTCAACCTTTCGCTACTGAGTCAGAAGTAGTAGCTTCCAAAGACATGGGTGGTGTGGGGTGCATGCCATATGGCACATACATAAATAAAGTGCATCACTTCCTCACTTCTCTCTCTCCAATTTCAAACTCAAACAACAACCTTCTTCGTTCACACCTCATCTCTTGAGCATGTCTTCCAGTTTCACTGACCTCCTTTCCAACAGCAATAGTGATGATCATTTTGGACTTGAATTTCCCAACAATTTCAAGACACTTCAACCTCCTTCACTCCCTTCTTATGCTGAGTTCCCACCTGGATTTGGCCCAACAACACAGTCATTGAACTCATCCCTCTTGTTTTCTTCTCAAAATGTAAGTTTTACAATCAGTTACTGTCATTATTATAAAGAATCATTATACATGAAAAAGAGTTTTGCTATGTATAGTAGTCCTATATATCACCTCTTTATCATTGCAGGATTGACTTTCATAAAAGTTATATTTAGTTTTGCATGAAGGTACTGTCTGAAGAAACTTTCTCCTAAACAATTTAATGAAAAGGAACTGAAACTCTGTTGAAGTTATTTTCTATTAGTTTATTCAAAATCTGATTTTTAATTTTTTTTCCTTTTATTTTTCTCCTTTAGAAATATGCACGGAAAAGTATCCTCTAAACAGAGCCTCTAATAATAATAAATTATGATTATTGTTGTTATTCTTCAATGTAATGTTTTTTATGATAATAACTAATTGTGGGGCATTCTTTGCTTATATGTTGGTTTATAACTTATGGTGATCTTTTGCGACGCTCCAATATATATTTTTGGTCATAACTATATATTTTGTGTGTTGGTTTAGGTTCCTGCATCTTACACAACTGAGTCCTCTTCTAGCATATGCTTCAACATGAGACATAGTTCAACTGCGGAAAAGCTAGGAAACAAGGAGGAAGAGAGAAACTACTCTGATCTCTCTTTCCTAACAAATGTGTCTCTGTTTCAGTCCTCCAAAAACATGTTTCAAGTGGTAAGTTGGATTTTTTTTTATATAAATTTAACTTAGCACATGTTTTGGGGTGTATTCATTTTTCCTTCAGTTTGTTTGATAATTAAGGGGTGTGAGACCGTTTCATGTTCAATCTATTTACATTGACTTACTTGGATCAATTTGTTTTATTAGTATCTGCTATTTGTTTAATGTATAGTCTTCTTTTAGTTCTTTACTTTATTAAAACTAAATAATTTTGTATTTAGGTTGGTACAAGCTTGTCTGAACAATTCAAAACTTGACTGTGGTATTCGTAGTTGACTGAATCAAACTTAAAAGTATGTTCATGCATGTTTTCAGAAATTCTTACATACATCCGACAATAAACTATATCTCTTATTTTATGCCAATTGATATAAATTTTGTACGTCACTTCTGTCCGCATAATAAAACGTTTTTGAAGTTGACAAGGCTAAAACTAAATGGCATTCAACTTACTAAACACATAAGAATTTATCAGTAAGTTCCAACTTGTTTCTTTGGAATGGAAGGAATATGCTAGTCTCGGCGTTTATTTAATTTTTTTTTTCTAATCTTTGTTGCACTTGAACCACAGGAGCCACTAAAGATACAGGACACAATTATATTCCATGAAGCCGCCAAGCAAACAGATTTCTCATATGAGAGGGCAGAAACAAAATCTGAATATGCATCCACCCAGGGATTCTCCACAGAAATTGCTTCAATCAAACCTGAAATACAAAGCAATTATACTTCTGGATCTGGTCCATTTTACTCCAATAATGCTTTTAAGTCTATTAGAGAACAAAGGAGATCAGAAGATGGCTACAATTGGAGGAAGTATGGAGAGAAACAAGTGAAAGGAAGTGAGAATCCTCGCAGTTATTACAAGTGCACGCACCCAAATTGCCCAACAAAGAAGAAAGTTGAGAGGTCTTTGGAGGGACATGTTACTGAAATAGTGTACAGGGGAAGTCACAATCATCCCAAACCACATAATAGAAAAAATGTCTCTCAATCATCAATTCATCAAACTTCTTCATCCTGCACTATATCAGGGATTTCAGATCAGTCTTTGGGAGAGGAAGATTTTGAGCAAACTTCACAAACTACTTGTTCTGTAGGGTGTGATGATGACTTTGGATCTGAGGCCAAAAGATGGTAAGATAAGCAAATGAAAATATATCACTCTAATGACCTGATTTGTATCGTTGGAATGAAACTACATGGTGAATTTGATTCTAGTGTGACTACTTATGATTACGATTATGATTTTCCTTCCAGGAAAGGAGAGAATGAAAATGATGACTATTATAATTCCTCAGCTGGGAGTAGAACTGTAAAGGAACCTAGAGTTGTGGTTCAAACCACAAGTGAAATTGATATACTTGATGATGGATATAGGTGGAGGAAATATGGACAGAAAGTGGTCAAAGGAAACCCAAACCCAAGGTATTTCCATTTTTTTCAGATTTTACTAGAATAATTTAATTGTCATACACTCTTAATGCAAACATTTTTAAAGCTGTCAATCAATGATAAGTTGTCCATGTAAAACTACAACCAACTTATCATATCTGATATGATCAATCACACCCTCGGGGCATTTCAATTAAACTCTTAATAGAATTGATCTTGATGCTCGAAAAAAAAATTGTGTCGAGGAATGATTATTGTGAAAGTGAATTTGGAATGTAAAACAAGCAACACCCATATAGTTATATTGTTGTTTTTATTGTTACAATTTCATTAATACCACCCCGCAAGGCTATGACTCACTCAAAATATTCTTTATGTAGGAGTTACTACAAATGCGTGAACCCAGGCTGTCTAGTAAGAAAACATGTTGAGAGAGCTGCAAATGATGTGAAAGCTGTGATTACAACTTATGAAGGGAAACATAACCATGATGTGCCTTTAGGACGAGGAAGTGCAAGCTATAACAGAACAACTCTAAACAACAACACCAGCAACGTAACAGACCCTGCACCTGTAAGGCCTTTAGCAGTGACTAATTCACTAATAGGCACAAAGCTACCAGCATCTGCAAGTCAAGAACCTATTCCAATGGACTTGTTGCTGAGCCCTAGAAGTCCAGAATTTTCGGGGAATGACTCATTCCTTCAGTCTTTTTTTACAAAGAACTTCTAAATTTGGAAGTAGAACACTAGAACGTTACAAGAAATAATGTCACTGATATGTTTATGTATAGCATATAGGAATAGAATAAAAAGTTCATCAGAATCTACTAATTTAGTGTACTAAGATTAGAGACTAGAACTGCAGTAAAGCTTGACAAGAATTAGGATTTATTTCAACTTTCAATATAGTAATAGGAGAGACAGAAAACGTGTTGACTTTGAAGTCTATTATTCTTTTGTTGTTTCTGTTCATCATGAATAAACGGTTTCTCTGGCTGGCTATGTCTTAGTAAATTCAATTACTTTCTAAAATGTTTCTAGTCTTAGCAATTTCTACTCTTGTAACCAAATGTCTACTGTTATTTCGTATCGTTATTTTTGCTTGTTGGCTATAACTTTTCAGTCAAAGCCCTTTGTTCAAATTATGAAATATTCAGCTTTTTCTCATCTATTGAGAAATATGCTTGTTGAAGTTCAAGGATAAAGATAAATTCCCAAGAGTGATAATATATAAGTAACAAACATCTATAAATTTAATGTCCTCATAATCCATTGTTGAAAATCATCGAAATGTTTATGGCAGAAGAAAAATATGTTTTTACTTATTCAGAAATGATGAATCCATAGCAGTATAAAACTTCATTTGATTCTAGACGCAAAGCTAATATAGTATACTATTTTAGAAGGTTTTTTATTATTATTATTAGGTGGATCTCATATAATTCCTACTAAATAATAAATGAAAACAATGAATAAAAAATGAAACTTGTAATGAACTTCCCTTGAATTTTCTACCAATTTGGCTTTTAAGGGATTGCAATAATCAAATATAATGTTGGTTTGATTCAATCGCTAGCTACCAAATTCCAAATTAAAGGAAAAGTTATCAACATCATCAACAGTGTCAAGAATAGCTGAAGATGATGCTGCTGCAACCTGAAACCAAACAATTTGCCAATCAACCTCACCTCAATTTGCTAACATTTCATAATCAATCAAAAGATCACAGAAAATTATGGTCCACAACTCTGTGTAATGCTTTCCTTTGACCACGATGATAGTACTTCTAACTTAAAAAGAAATACAATTTGATTAGTATTATATAAGTTTTCATCGCAGTAATAACTCCTTTTATTCTTAGTTGGTCCCAAATTAATTACTCTCACTGTAAAAGTAATGCATTTGTTATGAAAGTAAATTGCTTTAATAAAATTGTTTTAAAGGTTTTATATTTATTATTATTATTATTATTATTATTTATAAAGGAAACCTTAAATTATCATTATTATTATCTTCATTATGCAATTTAAACAGTTTTTTTACATGGAATAAGAATAAAAGTATTAAATTAACCCGATTTTCTCAATAATATATTAGTTTTATCTGCTGCAAATATAAATATCAATGCAATTTATTTAAAGATAAATTAAGAATAAAAAAATACTTATTGAAAAGAAAATAGTATTAGTTTACCATAAAACATTATATAGTACTTTTTATAGCTTAATTAAATTATTTATTCATTTATCATATATTTAATTAATTTTTTTATTAGATGCTTGTAATAATTAATTATTAATGATACTACTAAATATAAATTTCTAGAATCTGAAAGTTTTAAATCATGACAAGTGTAGCATTGTACTACACATGGGTGAGGAAATAAATGAGAAAATCTAGTAGTTTTGTACTAACTTTCGCCAGGAAAAAATTATAAAATATTAATAATATTTATATTATAATTACTTAAAATAAATAAAATTATTATATATTAGAAACATAGAATAGAATTGAAAGTTCTCTTTCCATATTTGAATAACACTTTAGTTATCATTCATTACTTGAAGAAGCAAGTTTAGAATTTTATTCCTTCCCAAGGATAACACCAAAGAGAAGTGTCAAGTTTCCAATCCAGCTTTCTAATCACTACTTGCAAGAATAACGACAAAAATCTAATGAGATATTACAACGTGGCAAATCAACACTAGATAAACAGAGTTGATAATTGTTAATTTTCTTTTATGATCAGTGTCGTGGTTTAGTTCAATTCAATTTCACACTGAATTTGATTCAGACTAAAGTTGGGTTTGGAAACAGAGCACCAATGAAATGAATGTGATGGGAGAAGATAGAATGCGAAACCTGATCTCCAGCAAAATCAATCAACCCTGCAGTCCTTGGCTGATGAATCAGGTTTTTCCCAGTGAAAAGTTCTGATAGGCTATCTAAATATACCCATTTGATTCCACTCAAAACTGTCTTTACGAGTGTTATTGTGTCTGACCAATTTATTCAACATGTACCATGGAATGCCTAAATCAACTGTGTATGATAGAGACAAGATTTTTACTAGTCATTTGGCAGCATATGTTTAAATCTCAAGGCACCACATTGGTCATGAGCACAATCTATCACCCTCAAATGATGATCAATAAGAAGTCCTCGATCGCTATGTTGAAATGTATCTCCGTTGTTTTGTTTATGATCATCCTAGAAACTGGTTTCAATTACTTTCATGGGCAGAATTCTGGTATAATTCGGCCCATCACACAGCAGCTGGTATGACCCCATTTCAAGTGGTATATGGGCGTCCTCCTCCTAGCTTAATTCGAGGCCCTGCTAATAATGTGGCTATTGAGGTGGCTCAACTGTTGACACAACGTGATGAGGTATTAGCCACCCTTAAACTCAATCTTGCTCGTGCCCAAAATTGCATGAAACAACTAGCGGATCGTAAACGAGTGGATGTGGAATTTCAAATAAGGGATATGATTTTTGTCAAACTGCAGCCTTATAGACAATCCACTTTTCATTCCCATGACCATCAAAAATTGGGTCTCCGCTATTTTGGCCCTTTTCCAGTGATCGAACGTGTTGGGTCAGTCGCTTATCGATTATTATTCTCCTCAGCAGTATTTTCCTCTTCCTTTAGTCACAGTTGCGGAGGATTCCCACCCAAGGCCCTTAAAAATTTTAGACTCGCGAAAACTTTTACAACAGGGAGGGTGGATTGATCAAGTTCTGGTTCAGTGGGCTCATCTACCTAGTACGGATAGCACTTGGGAATTTGTTTCCTTTATGCAGCAAAAATTTCCATCTTTTGACCTTGGGGACAAGGTCAGTTTTAATGGCGGGGGCATTAATACGAGATTAAGGAAGACAATAAAAGATGATGATGAGGGACACGTGACACATATTCCGATTGATGCGGTAACAGAAATTGGTGAGTTAAGACGCAACACTCGTGAGTAGCGCAAAACGTGGAAATGGTAGACCCAGGAAAATGGGAGCATATAAGGAGTGGAAGGAAATAATAAAGGGGTACAGTATCTCCTGAATATTCTTCTTTTCTCTGTCTTTCTTGTACGGGTCACTCTACTGTGAGGAGTTAGTTCAACCTTTTATCATCTGGAATTCTCTGATAGTTTGTATATTTGTTTACTCCATTTTTTGGGATTATTAACATCAAATGAGACATTTCTTATTATTCTTTAGTATTGATTACTGTTATTATACTGAGAGCCACGTCAACTCCACTCTACAAACAAGATATAATTGCCACATCCAGCCCAGCAAGTATCTATAATCCAAAAAATTCAATTCACTTCAACCACGTACTTCATTAACTAAATAGTTTAATTTTTATATACTATAAATGTAAAAAAATTTAAATACTCAGCAATTTAAAATTTCTATAAGAATAAATGCTAATCATGATTAATCGAAAAATTAATGATACTTAATTATATGATAATATATTAAGAAATTTTGTTATGATAATATATTAAGAAATTTTGGATGATTGACACTCATATGATCTTTGTCAATCTCTACTTCACTCAATCACGTTTTTTATTTTATATAAAAAAACAATTAATAACATGTTACGTTAAAATTAACCAGAATCTCATAATCTCTCGTATTATATGACAATTTCTTTAATATAAGTTATGGTTTGTATATTTCAATCAATTCTTAAACAAAATCAAATTTTGACAAAACCGTATTTGCTAATGTTCATCGATGACTATAATAAGAAGATGTGAGTTTACTTGCTCGAGAAAAAATTGAAGATGTTTAGTCGCTTTGTCAATTTTAAATCAATGGTCGAGAAATAAAGTGGTAGAGATCGGACGATGATAGAGAGTACAATAATGGTAAATTTGCATCATTTTGTAAGGAGAGAGGTATCATGCATGAGATTGTACCCCATGTTGGAAAAACAACAACAACAACAACAACAACAATAATAATAATAATAATAATAATAATAATAATAATAATAATAATAATAATAATAATAATAATAATAATAATAATAATCCGATTTTTTATTCTAACGATCAAACATAAACATAATTTCATACTGATAAACATGTTGTAAACTAAATGCGAAAGCGTACATGAATTAGCCATAACGATGATGTCTTTGTAGAACACTATATTGATCTTATGGTCTTCCACCTGAAGAGCACATGTATTTCCCTCTTGATTTTCTCTCTTGATGGGGATAGAAAGAAAGGAACGGGACTGATACTTACGTTCTGTGTGTGTGCTCCCAGAAAGGGACCATGACCCTTTAGATAACCAAAATTAGGTTAATTACTTAAGTTTTAGTATTTCCAATTTGACCCCTCATCAAATTAGAAATTGCTCTATGGTCTCTACACAATTTTATTTTCATGACATATGCCTTTAGCCAAAACTTTAATTTAGTCAGATCACTTTATTATTTGGCTTAATAAATAATGACCCTAACACATTTAAATTATGTATCATATATATACATGACCCAAATTTTGCCAACAATCTCCCACTGGTCACAAATATATATGTCCTTACAACCTTACAAATGTGTTAGACTTTATGAGCTCAAAATTTCCATTATATTCCTTTAGCATACTCCAAAAGTCCTGTCCATTAATCATATCAGGATATAGAACCAAACCAACTTTTCATTGCATCATCGCAACTAAAACTAACAATGATTACTCATCCTAACATAACCAA